AAAAAAAAAAAAAACGAACTTTCGATTTAGCATCCTAAAATTACCTAAAATTATAGTCAAAATTCTTACATTAATCTATTGGTTATGGGCTTATGCAACAACAATAACAATGACAATGACAAATGAATCATCAAAATAATCTGCACCAAAAAGCTTTTAAATTATTCCTTATTTAACTCCTAATTCGAAGGCTGTAGAAAAAAATAAAAGTAAATAAAAGACAGGAAACCGATGGTATAGACGATGAGCGATTAATTGTTGAGAAGAAGCTGAGCTTTTTCTTTTAAATTTCACCTTTCCAATTTTCCGGTAAAAGTTCCAAAATTGAATTTGCGAACTTTTTTATTCACTAAAAATTAGTTTCCTTTTTTGTTTGTTGTTTTTTCTTCAACAATTATATATCAAAAGAAAAAAAATTAAAAACAATAAGTATAATTTGGTCCACTTTTGCTTTCAAATTAAAAGTTTACTGAACTGTAACACAGTATACGAATGGTTTATCTGACGGCGACACAAAAAATCACCGATAATGACAACTCTACTCAGAATACTTATAGATTTTGGTGAATTATTAAAGGGAAAAACAATTTTTTTTTTTTTGCTTCAAAATTAGTCTGTTGTTAAATTGTTTCTGCCCGTATTTTTGAGATACGACGATGCAGTAAATTCGATAACCGAACTTAAGCTACGGCCCTACGTTTATTAACGCAGTTTTTACCAGTATTCAATGTTCTCCTGTTGCCGTATGTTACACTGCTTCTATCTTTCATTTCCTTCCGTTGTTATTCGGCAATACGCCCTTACTATGGTAAATTTGTTTTGATGAAGGAATATATATGCGTAAATATTTTTTATCCACTGCGGTTCGTTGTGTCGGCGAACGGAACGCAAGCAAAGAATCGATGAAAACAAACAACAGACACCCAAAACAAAAACAAAAACAACAATAACAACTAAAATGTCCTCTATGAATAAATAAAAACAATTGAGGGAGAGTTCGATGACATCACTTCAACGATGTCTTTATATAGTTAGCATCAAATTTTACACTGCACTAAAAAAATTACATATATTTAAAGCGCTTTTCAAGCTCCAAACAGCATCCGGTCAATCAGAAAAAGAATAGGGTGTTACAGTTTCTTGTTCCACTAAATAGTCGTTGGTGGATGCGTATGACAATTTTTTTCTAACTATTCTTGTTCTTTATTTCAATTTCTTTGTTTATAACAATTTTCAAAATTGTTTGGTCAAATATTTCAAAAAAACTGGTATTTCTGCCCAGAAAATAATTAAAATATTCTTCCAGTTTCTCTTTTTTTCAGCTGATACATTTAGGGCGCAATCAGCAACAACAGAGGCTTTGCAGTTGTTCTTGCTTTACTCTTTGGAACACAGTATGAAATGTTAGTAACAATCCTAGACGAGCTAAACCCTTAGAAACTTGATCATTTTTTAACTGTTTCAAATTATCATAACTTTTTTGTCCTTACAAACGGAAAAAACAAAAACAATTGATCCTACAGATCAAATAGTTTCATTTTTGAGCGCCTAAAAAACTTAAGATTTTGAATTAAAATTTATTAATTACCAAAAAATGTGAGTTCTTATTACAACTTGTTATTTAAATAACTTACAGTTTACTAATCACACGTTTTTTTCGGCTGATAAGCAGAAGTCAGGTCATGGTTAGAAAAAAAAAAACCGTTGGTTAATCAGCAGATACTGAATCGATGTTAGTATTGACGGAAGTTGAAGATTTCAGAGGCTATCAACAGCAACACTAAGTTTTGTTGTTTACTGTTGTTGTAATTTGTACTATCGCCCTACAACGATGATTGTAACAGAAATTCAACAAAGAAAAAAAAGTCTATAATCTCTTGAGCATAACACATGCAAATTGCGAATAAAAAACATATTTTTCCTCACCTTTCATCTATCCACAATCAAGCAATATTACATCCTATACTTAAAAACAACAACAAGAAATTGTTTAAAAACATCTGTAGGCGTCGGCGTTTGAAAATATGTTTAACAGAAAAAGTTTTATTTCAATAGTTCAGCCATCTTACACACTCCCAGAA